GAGTGGTGTTACCTAAAAAAAAAAAAAAAAAAAAAAAGAAAGATCAACAACCACAAGCAACTGAAATCCCTTGGAATGCTGATGGAAATTTATATCCCAGAATTTCTGAGTAAATTAGAGGTTTTAGGAAAGAAACAAAAAGTGTATTTTTACCAGCCATTTATTCTACTACAGCCACATGAAAAGGCATGCTACGATTTTTGTTGACTAAGTTACAGCTAGCACATGGCATGGAGGTTAGGGTGACTGGATTCCCACATGGCTGCTTGCATGGTTTGAGTCCCAGACCTGGTGGCTTGAAAAATATGCCAGGCGCATGTGCATGTGTGCCCCAAATCCTGAGAGGAGAATGGAGAAGAGAGGATTGCAGCATGGCCATAACCCCGGGGGTGGGGTGGGGTGGGGAGGTGCTTCCTCACTTTCCCTCTCTCCGTCTCTGCCTGTCTCCAACAAGCACATACAATAAAAATGAGAATTTGGAAAGACAAAAAAAAAAAATTTTTAAAAGAAACCAGTACTCAAATTTCAGAGGTCCAAGTCAAAACAGGACTGTGGAGCCAGAGAATCTATGATTTCAACTATTAAGAGGCAAACATACATTTTTGGAACCAGCAGATGTTAAAATGGTTACATCACTGGGCTCCCATGCAGTTGACTGTAGTTCGAGTCCCAGATCTGGTGGCTTAAACTCATGCTATCATGTGTGCATGCATGCCTGCCCAAAATCTCTAGAAGAAAATGGAAAAGGGATCACAGCATGGCCATCCCTCCTGGGGGGGAGAGGAGGTAATTTCTTGCTTTCTGTCTCTCTGTCTGGTGAATGCATGTGTGCGAATGCATGTGCCCTATAGCAAAAATCTCAAAAAAAAAAAAGAAAGCCTAGGACCAGCAAGTGGCATGCTGGTTAAGGCACTGGGCCCTCCCATGTAGCCAAGCATGGTTCGAATCCTGGACCTGGTGGCTTGTTTTCTCACTTTCCCTCTTTTTCACTCTCTGCGTCTTTCTCCGGTTAAGTTAAAATGAAATGAATGAATAAATAAAATTAAATAAATAATACTTTTAAAAAAAGCCAATATACATTTTGAAATAAAATACTGCTGCTCAAGCCAGCCCTATGCATACTGGTTAAGGGAGCTGGATTCCACATGGTCAACTGTGATTTGAATCTCACTCCCAGTGGCCTATAAAACATAGAGCTCATATGCGTCCCAAATCCCAACAGAATGGAGAGAGGAAATGGGACTGCAATATAATGTGTGTTCTCGTTCTCTCTCTTTCTCTCCATCTCTCTGGAGAGGTACACATGGCTGCCTCTATAAAAGAGTAACACAAGCCGAAGACACATACTAGCTCAGAACAAGGCCCCTGCTGGTAGCCTTGGCCTCTTCCCACTAAGGGGCGTTAAGCTTTCCAGAAAGCTGGAGCTGAGGTTCAGGGCACAAAGATGGCTTTTACATGCCCACGCTCATAACTTTCTTTCTTTCCTGAAGAATTCAAGGCACCAAGACCACCTCTGAGACGAGCGAAGGAGCCTTGGTGCACAATGTGGAACCTCATTGGAGATGGTTACACGGCAGGTGTCGGTGTTTGAAATCTCTCTGGCCTACCTGGCCGTATCTGCACAGCAGGAGGCAGAAGCACAGAGGGTGAACAGGCAATATTTCAACAATCTATCTCATGTCAAAAAGCATTTTTCTTCCTTAGGTTTTTGCCATAAGGCGTGTGCACTCGCCAAAGAGAGAGAGAGAGACACAAACGGGGGGAAAGTGAGGAATCACCCCACCGCGGGGATGGCCATGCTGAAATTCTTTTTCCCCCACTCTCCTCTGGGGATTTTGGACATGCATGTACACACACCTGGCATGATTTTCAAGCTGCCAGTCAAGGATACCAACCATGGTAGGCCATGCTGGAGTCCAGCACCCTAACCACTACACCCTCTGTTGGCCCCAAGAAGCACTTAATCTTACGATATGACTTGGGTCAGTTTTTAGTGGATTCTGATTTGAGAGGACAGGGCATATCTGAGAAAGAAAAAGCAGAGAATGAGTCACAGTCAAAACTTACCCAGGTCTATTCCTTTCAAGGGGCCAGAAAAAATTTTGATTGCTTCTAGATATTTCTCCTAAAAAATGAAAAAATAAAGAAGGGAGCAGTTACAGTCGAACAAATATAAACCGCAGCAGTGTATTTGAATGTGTAAGAGGTTTTCGTACGTATCAACATAAAACAAACTTACAAGGTAAGCGCTCTGCAAGAAAAAGAAAAACGGCGAGGGGCTGGGATCCACCTTGTCAAGGAGAGCTCTAGATTAAATGCTTTTTAGCTGAGCCAGGAAGATTCACTAAGGATACAGGCAGGGATGAGAAGAGACAGAGGAAACCTGTGTCTTAGTAAAAGCCCTGAGTTGGGCAGGGGCTTCAGGGGGAAGGGGGTCCGAGTCAGCTCCTGCATATACAGGGTTGGTGACAGATACGATGGGAGGGCAGGGGCCAGGACTGCCCAACCACATCAAGGTATTTGGACTGCACTGCAATGGAGAACCCTTGAAGGGCTTTAGGTTAACAAATGACACACTATATATGTCTTAAAGAAGTCTCTGGTTTCTGATTGGCAGGTGGCATACAGGCAGACAAGGACAGTGATGGAGACTACTGCAGTAGACAGGAACGGCAGGTGGGGATAACGAAGGCCTCAATGAGATGGAGAAAAGTGGATGGACTGTGAACCTTATTTCAGAGACAGAATTTAAGAGGACTTCGTTACTGGTTGCCCTTCTTCTTGAGAACGGAGAAATGAACTGTCTCAGCAATTGCCCACAACTTCTCAACAATGTAATAAGCTGGTTTAGAAGGTAAAAAGAGGACCAGCCAATGGTGTGGTGGTTAGGCGGCTGGATTCTACATGGCCAACGTCATGGTTCAAAGGTCCAGACCAGGTGGCTTGAAAAACACATGGGGGGAACCAGCAGTTAGCGTAATGGCTATGTCGCTGGACTCCCACGTAGTCAACCGCGGTTCGCGTCCCGGACCCGGTGGCTTAAAACTCTCGCTGGGCGCATATGCGTGCGTGCCCAAGATCCCGAGAGGAGAATGGAGGAGCAGGGATTGCGGCGTGACCATCCCCCCTGGGGGGTGATTTCTCGCTTTCTGTCTCTCTGTCTCTCTCTGTCTGTCTGGCGAGCGCACACGCCCTATAGCGAAAATCTCTTAAAAAAAAAAAAAAACCATGGGGGTGGGGGGGGGTGGGGCTGTGCATGTGTGCCCCAAATCTCTAAAGACTGAAGAAGGGACTGTATGGTCATTGTCCCCAAGGGGTCCTTTTCTTCCTTCCTCTCTCTTTCTGGTGAGTGTATCTACCACGTTACAAAAAAAAAAAAAGGCATAAAGACATCTGAAATTTAATAAATTACTAAGAACAAAAGCTACCATTTATTCAGGACCCACTTGGTAGGAAACATCTAATGGTGATATACTGTTTCCTATATATTAATTCACTTTTTCCTTAGCAGTTCTACTGACAGACAAAGAAACTGTGGCTCAGCGATGGGACACCACCAGTTCAAGACCACATGGTTGATAACATCAGAACTTGGGTCTATTTAAGGTGAAAGATGATATGCTTATTCTATCACCAGATATCTCCAGAGAGCAGAAGACTGACTTACACAAATGAACTAAAATTCTTGTTAGTGATATTTTAAAAAGAGAGTTCGGTTTTGAAAGGTGAGTCAGGAGAGACTCACCAGCTGTGGAGGTCCAGAAAGCACACACTTGGGAAGCCCAGTTTCCTTCAAAGTAAGAATCATTCCTAAAAAGGGAGAGTAAAATCAGATCTCTCATCCTCTTGACCAAGTCACCAACAGAAGCAGTTCTCACTTCTCCAGCAGCTACTCATCGATGTGTCCTCAGTTCCAGCTTCTGAGGGGCCATTAGAGAATGGGTGCACACCAGAAGTAGTATGAGCTAGAGGTGTGGAAATACCAAATAGTCCCCGAATGCCTGCAGGATGGGCTGAGCTGATGGACAGCGAGGCGGTGAGGATCCAGCATGCAGAACTGAAGAAGAGTCATGCAAGTGAGGGAACAGCCACGCATTCCGCGACCTGGGTGCATCACCCCAGTCTCGTCTCAGAGAACGGGGGCTGGTCCCATGCTCTCCACCCCTTCCTATCCACCTCACCGACATTCAGGCTGCAACACAATCGTGACTTTCCCAGTTGTTGGAAGTGAACAACAGGGTAACCTGGATAGTAGGTGTCTGGGGAGAGCTGCTGCCAGTGTCCGTGGTAAATGTATTTATGGTTATTACCAACACTGCACTCTTCGGTTAAATCTCTGACCCATCAACCCATGAAACCAAACGGATGCGAACGCTGAGAGGCAGATCCATGTTAGAATCTGCTCTCCAGAGTCACAGCTTTTGAGGTTCCACATCGCAGCGGACGAAGCTGGAGTAAGTGGGCCAAAAAGGGGCAAGGCGGTTGAAATCCCAGAGAGTTCCCACCAGCTTCTGACTCTGCGAAGACTACACTCACCGCACAATCCCCCTACATTACACCAGTGCATTCGCGTCAGGAATATGTTGTCCAAGCGCGCGACCTTCAGCCTAAAAGAGAAAAAAAGAAAACACTTGGGCAGGATAAAGTGGATTGACCAGAGTGTACTTCTGGTGTAAAAACAGGCCTGCCTCTCACCTCAGCTCTCACACCCCATAATCATCTTCACCCCAAAGCAAACGGGCTGACTCACTTGTGCTCCTGCATGAGTCTCTGGACGCCTTCTCCGCAGTTGAAGAGATACCTACAGGAGGAATATTACAAAGCAGCTTCAGAAGAGTCTATTCTGTAAAATCTGACACCCATACGAACTTGGGAAAAACTGAAAAGCAATGTCCTCCTGCCTGGCCTGTTTCTGCTCTTGGGATGCTAGGTTCTGAACTCTCCTTGGCAAAGGCAGGGAAGGGTGAGGGCCTGTGGAACTCATGGGGGAGGGGGGGGGTAAATGTGTCCTCTCCCCACCAGCCCCTCACCAGATCTGCCTACCCGACACGCCAACTATGAGGCCTGGGCTTCAGAGGGCAGGAAATGGGTGAGGCTCGTAGTGTGCTAAGTGCCATCCCAGGGTCCCAAGGGTTGAGAAGAGGGTACTTAGCTCTAAATCTGAAATTCTTCACCGAGTTCCAGAAACCATATGACGGAACGAACGTCAAGAACCTAGGATCTCCCACCCACTGAAAGATCAGAATTGCTCCCAATAGCGAGACCAAGTGGGTGCCGCGAAGCTCCGGGGCTGCAGAGCCCGGAGAAGCAGGGATCGGGTAGGGGATGGTTGGTCTCCGGGCGCGGCACACTCACCGGTTGTACTCGGAGAAGACATAGAGC